TGTTTTCCCTAGGAGGCTAACACAGGTGTAGTTTTTAACCTTGGGTAAAATTCTCAGCTTCATTATTTTAATCGCGCATGCAAAAAATAAACTACAAAGAAAGAATGGCTAGGTTTTCTTTTTATTTATTTTTTTCTCTTTGATTTTTTTTGGAAAAAATCAGAAAAGCACCAAGTATTGTATAATATATAAATACCAATGTACAGACTACCAAAAAAGTAAGTGTTAACACTTTGCCATATTTGCTTCAGAATTTTTTTAGAAAAAAAGCAAGCATTCCAGATAAAGTGTTAATCCCCTCTTTTAAATCAATTAATTAATTAACTAATTAATTAATTTTTAGAGAGAAGAGGAGGGAGGGAGGGTGGAAGAGGGAGAGAAATATTAATTGGTTGCCTCTCATAGGCACCCCGCCAGGGGACTGAGTCTGCAACCCAGGCGTGTGCCCTGACTGGGAATCAAACTGGCAACCTTTCACTGTATGGAGCAATACCCAACCAACTGAACCACACTGGTTAAAGCCCTCTCTCTTTTTTAAAAGAAAATTATTTATTTTAGAAAGAGAGAGGAAAGTGGGGAGGAGAAAGAGAGAGAGAGACATTGATATATTGTCCCACTTATCTATGCATTCATTGGTTGATTCTTGTATGTGCCCTGACCAGGGATCGAACCCACAAGCACGATGTATTGGGACAATGCTTTAACCAGTTCTAATCAACTGAGCTCCCCAGCCAGAGCTGTTCCCTTTGTTTTCTTCCATTCTCTTCTTTCCCAAGGCCAGTACTATGAGGAAGTTACCAGGAATTCTTCCACTGTGCCCTTTCAGGACTTTACAATGTATGTAGATAGATAGATCACTATATGTATAATACCATATACACTATTATAAGATAGACCATTATGAGTGTTCTTTTATAGATTTTGAAATGTTAACAAATGGTATCCTATGCATCAGTCTGCAACCAAATTTTCTCAGTCAACATACATATTTGATATTTATGTGAACTGGATCTTAAAACAAACAGAACCAGTTCAGTCATTTGAAGTGCTTTATACTATTTTATTGAATAAACAAACCATGATTTATTTATTCATCTAATGATGCTAATTATTATGAACAATGCTCCAAGGAATGCCCTTGAACTTGTTTCCTTAGGCACATGTATCAGAATTTCATTGGAGTAACTTCCTAGACATGAAATTGTTGAGTTACATGCATTGTCAGTTTTATTTCATATTGCCTAAATGTTCTCCAATGTGACTGTGCCCTTTTGTATTCCCTTTCAGCAGTGATGGACCTAGCTTTCTAAAGCAAACATGTCAAATATACTCTCTATAGTTTTGAGGGTTTTCCATTGCAGAACTTAACCCTTTTCCAACCAGTGTCCTAGGTGTTTCTTTACCTGCAGAGGATCAGTGGTCTGGCTTCCTTAGAAAGAACAGAGTAAATATTAAAACTTACGTTGTTTCATGTTCATTTGGGAAAAATTCCATAGTTTTCAGGAAAACTGTGCTCTTCTCAAGTGTTCTTTCAGAAGGAATCTTCCCTAACCTAAATTTGACTCTCTTGTCTTTTTTGCTATTGTTTGACTAAATAAAATTTCTCACCTTTTCAACATTTTCATAGGTCCTGAGGAGACTGTCTAATCACTTTGTGCATGATTTTCAATGTTTTTCTGCTTATTTTAAATCTTTTGAATGGTAAAGAAAACAAAATAACATTTGCTCTTGGCATTAATTTGTCTCCTTAAATTCCTTCAATTTTTTAGATCTCTTAGAATTTAACTTAAAATTTCCCTTTAGTGTCACACAAATATAGATGTCAAAGCAACCTCCAGGAACAACTTCCTGAACTTGAAATTGTTGCTGGTACCCTAGACTGAAACCTGTTGAAACATTTCCACTTGTAGTTCCCTCTCACCTGGGAGGCAGCACATCAGCCCCATTCTGGAACAGCCGGTGGATGCAGGCAGGCCCAGCGTCCTGGTATGGCTTAGTCACATACAAAGTCTGACCCCCTTGCTTTTTTTAAACTGAGCTCTTAAATGGAAACAAAGTTGAGCTAGGGATGGACAGTAACGACAGGGCCCAAACTACCCAGAGCCTTTTTGAGAAGTCATCCCTAATTTCTATTTAGCACTCACATTTGGGTGTTTTCCCAGTTTTATCCTTTTTTAATACTAGAGGAATGAACAGAAATAGGCATGAGTGCCTTCTGGTCCATCACTTCTCTTTTAAGAAACACTGAGTTTAAATGTTAGCTCCTAACAGAAAAGGCCCAGAATTATCTTGTGCCGGATGCAAAGGCACTCACGCCTGGCCTCCCTGCGTCACTGAAAGGAGCTGCTGGTCATCTGAGCATGATGAGCTCCCTACGTGCTGTGAATATACGTTGTTATGACTTGACATTTCACGACATACATGAAGCTTTCTATTTGGGGGAGAGTGGGGTGATATGGAGGTAATCAGACTGTGTTTGGGAAGATCACCCTGGCTACATTTACAGCATTGGTTGGAGGAGGCCTGGAGAAGCTGTTGGAGATCAGTTAAGAGACCATTGCAATACTTCTGGTGAGAGAGGAGGCTGATTTGGGCTAGGATGGTAACTGGAGAGGGACAGATGGACGCATGTGAGAAGTTTGGGAGGCAAATTTAACTGGATTTGCTGATGGCTGGGCTCTGGGGACTGAGGGAAAGAAGAGGATCAGTCATGGTTGAATGAGTCTCCTTGGTTCTGATCGGGTGCAAGGTTAGGGGGATGGGGTTTTCATCACAGCTTCACGTGAAATAGTTTAATATCAGTATTAGCTGAAGCCAGGGAGGCTCAGCCTCATGCCGTGTTCTACACTGTGTGATGTTTGGAAAAAACCTGAGAGCCATCTACTTTCTTTAAGGCAAGTAGCAGTTTCATTAGACAGGTAAAAATTCTAGGATTCCTGTAGCCATAATGCGCTTAGTTTAAGGAAATTATTGCTGAAACAAGAGTGTAGGAGGAAACACTTTTTATATTCAATTAATTTGCAAGACTGACTGGCTAGTGTCTGGTGTTCAAATGAGCTAACACAGAAGGTAGCACCCACTCCATATAAATGTTAGCGTTTTCCTGGCTGTTGGTGACAATGGCGAGAAGCACAATGGAGAATTGAACTTCTCAAAATGCTTCATAATGATTTTCACCAGCAGTCCTCATGGAAGGTTTGTTTGTACATGGGGAGAGGACAGGGCGGAGGGCTGGGCCATCAACATTTTTGGCTCCATTATAGCTAAACAGTGGCATTTAAGGAACGGGTGGCCTTGTTCACTGTTGCATGGGCTGTCGACGGCAGGCTCAGGGTTGAGACCTTCAATCTTTGAGCCAACTTCTTAAAACAAAAGCAAAAACAACAATAAAATAACTACAGTGTAATCTAACCTAAATACCAAGTCTGTCATTAGATTGCTCGTGTAGCAGATGTACTGATCACATGAAATGTTTCCATTCTCTGCCATCATCCCCAAACTAGGAATTTAAAGAAGTCATTAATCTGAAATATAATGTAATGTAGGACTGTATTCATTCTTCTCAGGCTACATTGATTATCTGCTGTGAACACTGTGGCATGCTATACAGTCATAACTTCCCAAACAGTTGTATTTATTAGATTGATATCTATCTTTTATTTGTGGGGGTTAGTGGAAAGGTTTGGGGTGGAGACAAATGAGTTCAAGAAAAGCAAAAAAAAAATCAGCTGTTTTAAATGGTGATAAAAGAAAAAAGAGAGATTGTCATCGCCAAGCCCTTTGGCACTCTGGATAGAAATACTGAGCTAAATTAATGTGAATGACCACACTAATTTTAGGTTCCAAATGTAACCAATGAGACTCTCTGTAAGACTTATACTCTGTGACTATTTATAAAGAAGTGGAAAAGCTGACTAGCAAGAGTAAGACATGATTTCTCAGGATGCTCTTGGGAACACCCCAGCAGCTGTCAGGTCCCACTGCTGGTTTTATTTGCAAAGGTCCTTCTGAGAACTGTGCCACTTGCTTCTTGGATGTCCCTTGGACAGGGAATGACCTTCTAGAATTGCTGTACAAGTGTGACCCCTGACCTCCCACCCCTCTAGAGAGCACACCCCCCAGGGGCCCAACGCTGACCTGGTCTGTGGAAGCAGGAGCTGATTGCCTCTGCTGTTGGCACCGCCTCCACTTGTGCCCGGCTGGCTAGTTGTTTTCCGTGCCACTTTGTCTCATGCTCATTGCCTGGTTTGAAGCAGATTTCACTTCCTTGAATGCCATCTTGAAAGAAAATCTGTTCGAGATGACTCAAGGCAATAGTTAATAGACCAACCTCAGTTAAGACATTTAAATCCATAGAAAACAGGGTTTTTTTCTTTTGGTTTTTGAGGGTCTGTCTTTTTTGATGACTCCTCTCCTAATAGTTTCAGGTCCGGACAGCTGAAGTCCTACATCTTCTGCGAGGTGAGAGTCCGTTTATTTCATCCAAATCACAGTCTCTCTTACCGGTTCTCTGCAGCTCCGTAACTCTCCAGCTGCCTTCTGCCAGGTGTCACCCAGCTCACTGAACAGACAGTTACGGCCTCTGAATGTCTTCAAACAGTTACGTGTTTGAGCCTGGGGGCCTTTAATGTGGATGTCCAGCCATGTCAGTGTGGCATCTCCTTTCAGCTTGCTTTGTTTATCCAGCAGCTCATTACTTAAGAGTAGCCTGTCAAACTAGGTTAAATATTCTTTGGGAAACATGGTCCCTCACATCCTTGAGATACCACAAATATGTTTAATGCAGGGAAGATTGGCTTGATAAGAAAAGTGTGATTGACTTGCATCACCAAAAAATATTTTCCTGTTGTTCGGGTTGAGTTTCCACAAGCATCAATAAGTACCAGAAAACCTAAGGACAATAAATTTTTGCAGCTGACACATAAAGACACCAAGGGAAGCAGGGAAAATGATTGCTGATGATTCATTCTAACTACTTGACCTTCTGACCTCTTCTCTAGATATATGACCAAGATGGGACACTACAGCACTTTATTGATGGTGGGGAACCTAGTAAGTCAAGCTGGATGAGGTATATCCGATGTGCAAGGCACTGCGGAGAACAGAATCTAACAGTAGTTCAGTACAGGTAAAGTATATCTCGATTTACCACTTACGGAGCTGAAGCCCTTGGGCCCGCATATGCCAACTCAGGCTTGCTGCTAGTTTTGAAACAGTTCTGCAGGAATTTTTGCAGGAGCTCTGCAAGGACTGGCAGAAATTGTTTTGCTAGGTTTCTGAAATCTCCTTAATTCTTGCAACCATAATTTCATGAGAATTGAGGAATAAAGATCCTAGTAGAAGGCCTCTTTCCCTCAGTGCACTTGGGAAGTTATTTCCACATCCTTACCTGAAGGAGCCCAGCAAGCCCACTGGCTTAGGCCGAGTGCCCCTGCAGAAGTGTGCACACCCACAGATTCAGCCCAGGCCATCTTCAGGCCTTCTCCCAGGCGGAACAGTTCCTTTGCACAAAGGCCTGGGAAACCAAGGACTCTCAGCCTGCCTAAGGCTACTTTTCCAAAACCATTATGCTCGGCAGCAAGATCTGAGCCAGAGTAACCTCTCATGATCCCTAGAAAGGTGCCAGTGCACTGGGCTTTGGTCCTTGGACGATTCAGAATGGTTCAGGAGATGAGGTGGTTCCAGAGCATGGGGAAGCGTCCGGTTTCCTGAGAGGTTGGAGCAAAGCCCAAAGACAAGGTGGAGCCACCCCCATTTCTCAGAGTCCCATAGGGAGGCCTCTGGGGGGCTCCAAAACAGATGCTCAGCCACATCTGCTCAGTGCACCTGTTGGTCAAGCTTTTCCATTTAGTGCTAAAGAAGGCTGGAGTGGAGACAAGAGGGCAGAAACAGATCACATAGGAAAAAAAGCCCTACCACTAAGCCTTCTTTTCTCAAAAATCCCTCGAAAACATGTGCCATATAAATATATGACCTCAGTTATAAACAGCCATGCTCCCTTTAGAATCAGAAGCAACTGTTTAGCTTTATTAGGCACCATTGACACATCAAAGCAGGAGGCCCTGTGCTCGGCAACTTGGAGTCCTGCCTGTGGCTATTTATTTTCCTTTCCTCTTTTTTTTTTTCTTAAATGAAGCCTTACAAAAAAAAAAACAGAGAAAGAGCTTTATTCCCCTTATAGGTTAAAGGCTGCACAAATCTGGCTTGCTCTCTGAAGGTCTCCAGCTCAAAAGGAACTTATTTGGGCAGCATGTGGCTTCACTGCCTTGGTTTCCGATGCAGTTATATTTCATGAAATAATGGTTCAAATGAACGCGTGCACGATGGTGTTTGGTTACACTGCTGTATACAGGCCTTTACTCACCTTTATTGCAGCCGCATGTCTGCCAATAAGTTTTTTATGAAACTCAGAGCTAGAGAATTAGTAAAGATTGTGCTTGTCCATTCAGCAAGAGACAGTTGGGCTGGTTCTGGAACGGGCACCCAGGGAGCTCTTGAGGTCAAGTCTGAATCTGGGCAGATGAGAAACCCCCGAGAGGAAGGTGGGCATGAGTAAGTCCTTACCTATCTGTCAATATTAAGTGAACTTTATAGCTCTCCTTTCATGATGGCGCTTAAACTTCAAGCTCTCTCTGCCGATCTGTTTTCGATTAGTTCAGATCTTTATAAAATGAACTACAAAAACACAATTTAAAAAACTGGCATCCATCACCAGTGACTACGTCCAAGAGTAAGAAAATAGAAAAGTTGGACCCTGAAGAGCCAGCCTAATTTTTATTGTACATGAATGTCCTCTTCACAAAAAGTCAGCTGGTTTAGATTCATTCTGTTATGATTTGTAATATCTAAATGGAATTTTCTTCAAAGCGCCCGTGATTGATTGACCCTTAGCTGAACGTTTTGTTTTTATTTTGAGGCTGACAATAATGTTTGTTGGCATGTGTTCTGCTTCAACTGTGTTGGGACGCCACGAAGCTATCTTTATGAGTCATCCAACCACAATACTAAATACATGTCAGCAAAGGAAATATTATCTGAAAAGGGAAAAATCCCTTTGATGTGCTTCAACATGCAGAGATTTCTGCGAGTTTTGGAAGCTCTGCCCGCTTGTAAGGAACGGTGTACGCTTACACTTTTTTTTTTCCCCATTTCGGCCTACTCCATGCCTCAGAAGACCACCCATTGCTTGAAAACAGTTCTGCTCTTTCAGCGGCAAAGTGTGTCATTTGGTTTTAGCACATTCATTTGCCGGGCGCTGTGTTTATATTAAGGGAAGCCAAACCGAGAGATGAAATGTTACAAGGGTGAAGTACAAAGTAGACTCAATTTTTCTCAAGTTAGGAGATGCCAGTGATTTATAGCTCAACTCCAATTTTGATTTTTTTTTTTATGTAGCAGTGGAAAGAATTAATAAAATGCACAGCTCTCAGGGATGCAGCGGGAGGAAGGGTAGTGAGGTCCGGACGACTGGCTGGAGTTTTTGTCAGATATTCATAGAATGTTGGGAAAAAACATTCTGCTTAGCTAGCAGTGCCCTCGTGAGACAGAATGGCAGCAAGTAAGGAAAATAACAAGATAAATGAAATTTTTACAGCTGCAAGTAAAATATTGAGAATCTGCACTTTTTTATTGATCTTTATGATCCTATTGCCAAGAGCCACTTTGTGGTGACAAAATATGTTGACAAGTGCATATCTCACTGCCATGAAAAATGTGGTGAAGGATTCGCCTCCTGTCTGCAGTGTTGTACAAGGAACAAATTGCCTTGCTACAGCCAATTCCTTACAGAAAGGCGAAATTTAAGGCCCACCAACCCTAAACACTTTTATCTTGAACTTGGGGCTAATATTTGGAGCAATTCTTCATTGAGAAAACCAGTTGAGGTCTCATTTATTTTTAATCTGTAGATTTTTCTTTACAGTATCAAAGGTGTTATTAAGGATGGTTTATTTCTTGGTACTTTCACTCTCTCATTGCAGAGTATAATCTTTTAACCAGAGTAAATTCTCCTCTTGTATTTACCGAGTTGCCATCCATTTCACATGAGGGGTTTTCCCTTCTCCTGTACCAAACTTTAGAAAGAAGATAATGGGGAAGATTTTTATTTTTTTCAATCCTTATATCACAGAGCTCTGTAATTTTATTACAAATTTGAGAACTCCCAATGCCAAGTTGCAAGAAGATACGTAGTGCTTTTCCTTCAAATAAGAAATCAATAGTATTAATTTATGTACAAGGAGGAGGCATCAGTGTATCCAGTTTGCCAAGAGGGAGAATTTTCTCATCGTTGTGAGGTGGGATTTTTTTTTAATGAACTCTTCCTTTCTGCTGTCTCCTGGGCCACATATCTATTTCTCCAGCCAAGACGTGCTAGGAAGGGACACTGTGGAAATAAACTGTGAACTATTTATCCTGCTGGGTCCCGGGCTCTAATTGGTTTCTGGGAATGATAAGGTGGGTGTCAATTTTATTACAAACAGAAACTGTTTAGGCGGAGCTGGGCAGAACTTTTTGGGGGCAATAAAAATGCGGATGGGGGCACGTGAGTCCTACATATTACTAAGCTGGGTTTTCTTTTGTTTTGAATAGGTCGAATATATTCTACCGAGCCTGTATAGATATTCCCAGGGGTACCGAGCTCCTGGTGTGGTACAATGACAGCTATACGTCTTTCTTTGGGATCCCCTTGCAATGCATTGCCCAGGATGAAAACTGTAAGAATTTATTTTAGCTCTGCATTTACATCTCAAAAGCCCTACTTTAAAGCTAACTTTTTTAAGCATGTTGTTTGAAACTCCTGAAATGTGTTCACTCTGCCATATAACACAAATGTGCTCAAGTCTGTTCCATCATTTTCTTTTCCCTGTATGTCCTTTATTCTTTCACAGGGTGTCTTGACTTGTGCAAGGCAATCCTTCCTCACCTGTTTACAGTGCCCAAACCTGTATCAGAGTTTCACATAATTGCCAGCAGCAATGTTTAGGCAGCTGGTGTTTACTGAGTGCCTGTTGTGTATCTGGTTCTGTGCTTGCCACCTTACAAGGATGCGAGGGCAGCATAAGATACAACCTCTGCTCTGAAGGGTTGTGCAGTTCCACTGCAGTCGTGCCAAATGCAGAAGTGAGAGGATGAGAAAACGGTGCCCTTTTACCAGGCGTAACCCCCTCCAGTCCACAGGGCGTGCTTCTTCCCAAGTAGTTACTGTCGTGAGAAACCGTACTAAAAATGGTAGACATGTCACTGAGGAACTTGTGTCTCTCTAAATTTCTTAGCCTAAACGAACCCTGTAATTTTAATCTATCTCTCTTACCACGGCAGCCAGCATCTTCTAAAAAATAATCTAACATCTAGGCAAATGCAAACTTGCAGCAGTTTTCATTTAAACTTTATACTTTTGTTCTATCAGTTCTTTGGAGAGTATTTTCAGGTGATTTTCAGTATTTGCAAGAGAATTAGGTAATTCTGATGTGCTTCAGTGAGAGACACTGGTATCAATGGTGCTGTTTTTTCCTTTTCACAAAATTGACTAATCTGTGAACTGATCATTTGGGATTATGTGGCAGAAAAGGAAGCTGAGGGAACAGATCTATTTAAGAAACCTTGTTTTGAAAAAAGAATGTTTTATGTTACTTTATCCTTCTCTACTTTCTCTCACACACAAACTCCAATAAAAATCCTTCATATTACTACTGAACAAAATGCTGATGATCAGGTATTTATTTTCCACATTGCTTTTATTTTCTTTGTGAAAAATAGAATCCCCAAAAGATGTATTACTATCAACTTTCCTTTTCTACTTTAGCCCAAAACCAATCTCAAATCAAAACACGAGTCTTCGGACATATTGCACATTCCTCTGATTTCCCAAGTTTCCATTGGAAAGTTTCTTTCCTGCGGTGATACTCCTGTTTGTGGAAGTGTCTGTTTGTGGAGGAGAAACTCTCGGTGTTGGATGTGAGTGTGCAGCTGGTATTAGAGGCAGATGTGGACATGGAGGCCAGTGTGCTCTCTCTTCTCAGAACAGCTCTATGCCCCAGTTTCCCTAAAACCAGATCTAGGCCCACAGATGGAAAAGCATCACACTCTCAGCCCCCCACCCCCACCCCCCATCCAATCTGCTGACATGGGCCTCTCTGTCTGTACAACCTTGACATAAACTCACCTGAAATATGGAACTTGATCCAAAAGGATGCCAGAGGTCTTTTAATAAAAGCTGCTATAAACTCTGAAGATATTATTATGGTATGTGTGTTGAGGATTATCAGGGAATATACATAGCAAAGCCTAGGGTTCTAAAGTACATAGCACATAGTACAACAAGCCATTCATTTGCTCATTCATTTATCATTGCTTAGATATATATTGAACACCTACTATACACCAGTGTTTTTACTAGGTTCTGCAAATACAGCTGAGAACAAAATAGACAAGAATTTTTGCTTCATGGCGCTTACCTTCCTGTGGAGGGAGACAGATTATCAACAAATATATGAGTAAATAAATAGTTCGTCAGGTGGTGGTAAGTGTTGTATAAATAACAAAACAGAGAAGAGGTGAGGCATGCCAGGAGTTGGGAATCGCAGTTTTAGAGAGTGATCAGGGTAGTTGCTACTAGATATGTGACCTTTGGGATATGATGTAAAGAGGTGAAAGTTATTTGGGAGAAGAATGTTCCAGTCAGGCTATCTAGAAGTGCAAAGGCCCCAAGAAAGGAACATTTCTGGCTCTTTGGAAGAGCGTCACAGAGGCTGGCACAGGTGTTTGGGAGTGAGTGAGATGGGAAGACGTTAACTTAGATATTGGGACAGGGAGGGTCTTGTAGGGCCCAGGATGCCCCTGTCAGGACCCTGTCTTTTACTTGGTTAGGGCTGGGTGAAAGGGGGCTAGTGCCCAGTTTTTGGCAGAAGAGTGATATGATCTGGCTAAAGTTGTAGCAGGATGGCTCTGGCTCCTGAGCAGAGACAGTAAGTGGTGAGGGTGGAGCAGGGAATCCAGGTAGAGGCTCTTGCAGGAACCCAGGAGAGAGATGATGATAGTTTGGACCAGTGTAGCTGTAGTAGAGGTCGTGAGAAGTGGTTGGATTCTGGATATATTTTCTAAGTGAAGTCAATAGCACTTGCTGACACACTGGATGCTGAGTGGCAGAGAAAGGAGTCAAAGATACCTCCACAGCTTTGGTCTGAGCAACTGGAAGGATGGAATGGCTGTTACTGAGTTATCAGTCAGAAAGGGAAACTGCCATGAAATGACAACTCAGGGAATGCAGCTCTCACCGTTGACATGGATCTTTGGGGTGGAAGTCCCACATCTATAACATTCTGCTTTGTGGCATTGTTACAGGGTGACAAGGATGTAGGGGTTGGGCTGGGGGATTCCTGTGTGCTGTTCACAGCCACCTGAAAATGGATGTCTAAGGGTGTACCGTCTGGTCTTCAAATTCAGTGCCAGAATGCCATCAAAAAGTATACTTTTTGGATACACTGTATACTTTGCTTTTCAGTCCTTCTCCTAGAGTCCAACCCGCATGAAGTGTAGCTGATTAGAGTATTGAATGAACTCTACCAGAGTGTATGTTATATAATTTAGCACCTGAAATCCTTGGAAGAAAATTCACAAAGCCACAGCATTTTGAAGTATTGTGGATTCAGTAGGTAAACTAAGCAGCTCTTTGGGGTAGAGTTCAGAGTTCTAACAGGGTGGAGGGACGTTTAAAAGAATTAAGTTACTGACTAAAATGCTCAGCAGTGACAATCTGCCTCCCCTCTAAGGGTATTATAGGAATTTTATTTGAGTTCCCATCTCAAAGCCATGTATCTGTCATGTGACTGGCAACCCAAGAAACCAGCAGAAAGCTTCATCAGATAGAGTGGGGGACATGGATATATGACTTTGACTCTAACTCTGAGACGGATTCTCATTCCGTGTGATTCACTGAGAGACCGGGGATGCTTCTAATGAGGATTCCTTATTTTGTACTGAGAAAATACTCTGTGTGATTTAAAAGCACAAATGTGTGAAAGGGCATGTGCAGATAATTTAACAGAAAACCTTCCACAGGCCTGAGTAATTTAAATCATCTCCACTGGATTAGCAATTCTAAAACAATTTTTATCCTCCTGAGCTAGCCACAAAATAAATTAGAAACTTTAAAAAAAAAGCTTCTCAAGATCAAAGATTTACTTGACAAGATGCCTCCACAGAGCCTCCTTATAGTTCAGTGCACACAGTAAACAATTAATAAATGCTCACTGGATAAATATTGAGAAAATTATTGCCATTAAATATTGGGGGATTTCGGCCAGATTTTTCTATGTTGATGAGATTGATACTTGGCCAAAGACATTAAAGGAAAACAGGATTTTACTTAGTGAATGATTTTACTTATTAAACACTTTCATTTATAAAAATATCATTTTCTTCCCATGGTTCTTTCAACATCAAAAGTACACATTTCCTATTGAGCGTGTGCGGTGGGTTCAGGCTCCAGTGACCACCCACCTCTGGCAGTGGCCTCGGAGCCTCCCGCTCTGCTCGCTCTGCCCGCTCTGCCCTGCCCGGACAAGCCATTCGAAGCTGAAGCTGCCTGGCCTCAAAGAGAAGGCAGCGTTTCACACAGGCATTTGGGTTCTGGAACCGATTCCTGAATTCCTATTTTCTTTTAAAAAGCCATCGTTTTAAATGTAATAGAGCTCCAAAGAGGGAGCCACTCCATCCACTGTGGGCCTTTCAGAAGAGCCAGAAGGTTCCCCTTGTCAACAGATTGCATCCCCAAGAAGGAGCAGGCTCCCCAAAGCTTCAGTGGGGGATTAGCTCCTGCAGAGTTTAAAGACTATGGTGTATTCATATTCATTTCAGAGGAAATGTTTTTAAAAAACCTGGGAGTAAATGTCAAACAAGCCTTCCTGCTGCGAGTTCTGCCGTGGCCGTGAAGCTGAGGTGGCAGAATGTGAAACTTGAGGGCCGTGCAGGAGCTGCTGTGTGGGAGGGACCTCTGCCTCCGGGAGGCCTGCCTTTTTCTTTTGATTTTAAAGAGCAGAAAGTAAAAAGGGGCACCTCTGTGTAGTGCTCTTCACCCTCGCTATCCATTCAATAATGAAAAACTCAGCCCAGGGTAAAGAAGGCCCTACTTAAGTCTTATATCCACTAACATTGAGGAGATTACTTATGTGTTTCAACAAGAACACCTGTGTGCAGGGCTCTGCGGGAAGCATTGTGATGGGGGACAGACGCACAGGCCCTGTCCCCCAGGAACTCGGCCTAGGAGACGGCAAGTAAGCCCACAACTACAATGCAGCACACCGTGCTTGTGCCAGGTGCAATGGCCATAGCAGTGAGCCTGAGCTGGGGTGAGGCTGGGAGGCTGAGGATCAGCGCAGCTGGCGGCAGTCAGGGTTCCAGGCCCCTGTATACAGTGGGACACTGGGATTGGACTCCTTACATGAATCCAGGAACTGGAGGTTACGTTTTGTCCCGAATGAGGACTAGGAAAATGCTAACCTCAAGAAGGAACTGTCCTGCTTGAGCCATTGGGTGAAAACAGAATGTTACACTCTATAAAGCAGCCCTCCCTATGGAATGATGTGGGCTTGATTTTGTTCTGCCTACCGGATATGGAAACCCTGGGCCAGGGAACTAATATAAAAATTGGTCCAGAAGTGGAGAAACCTAGAAGAAGCAAAGGAGAAATTACCCATTGGGGTGTCTCTGGATCTGT